TCTCTCTCTCTCTCTCTCTCTCTCTCTCTCTCTCTCTCTCCTCTCTTTGTATCTCTTCCTCTTACTCGTCTTTATCTGCGCCAGAATCTGCCTGTTCTAAAATACATAATCTAACTACTATATTATCACTAGTATTCTAAAGTCAAGCAAATAACAGAAGTTACATTAGTTTCAGAAAAATCTCAAAAGAACGTTGAAAAAAATCTCAAAAAATCGAGCGTTACAACAACCATTTATGGTTTTTTTGTCTCATAACTGTAATTTCGTTTCTTTAATCATTAGCTAACTTATTTACCTAATCACTAAGAGAAGTGAGCGTTATCGACTACATACATTATCGACTACTTACATTATTGACTAAGAGTTAGACATGAATTTACTACCTCGCGGTTAGACACCAACGGAATTCAATTCCTATTAGAGTCCTTGGCGTTTCGTATCTCTCTTCTTCACCAGGTTATTTCTCATCGGCCAGGTCAGTTTCGTCGTGAACATTAGTGAGCTACGAGAAGATAGTCGAGTTGGACCAAGTCGAGTTTTTGCATCTCTCAGTCGCAGCTTGAAATATAACTACCGGCGGCCGCGTCATCTACAACTCGCGGCAGCAAAGTTACATTCTGGTGAATATCAAAGGCAAAGAGATCTCCCGGGAAACTTGATTTCCGCGATTTAATTATGAGCCGAGTGGATGAGACACACAGCTCAAAGCGAGACGAACAGGAGTTATTTGTCGAAATCTCTAATTTTGCTCCAATTCATTCTTTCTTTCTTCGTGCGCCGCGTTTCGATCGGACGATTAATCTCAATCGATCACGGCCGTTATTCAACCTGCGACTGCGTTGTCGAGGTTCACTCGGCGCAAATCGGGACTTCCGCGAGAACTCGAGATTGTGAATTGAACTTGTCTCTTTATAGCCGCGACGCCGAGTGCCTCGTTGAATGGTGCGTGTACATTAACACAGTCGGGTCAACAATCGTGTCCGACGCAGTGAAAAAGTATCCAGACAGCCGTGGCGACACTCGCCGTTGGATTTCTTTCGAGTCTCGCGTTAATATGGAAACGAGAGCCGCCCGCACTGACGAGACTGTGACAAAAAGTACGTCACGCTTAAACAAACGAAGCGGAGTGAAGACCGGCCGTTCGGCCGGCCATCGACGAATGATTGGTTTCAACGCCGTGGGCCATTAGCAAACACCTGAAGCTTTTCGTCCTCGCCCTTCCCCGTCTGCCCCTTCAACCACCGTCAGAGAGTTTCTCCGCCTCGAACTTTCAAACAGAAGAGAAAGAAGAGCACAGAGAGTCGGGGTTAACAAACTCATCCTTTCCCAAGCCACTCGCCCGTCCCACCAACCGTCCCACAGTTTTTAAGCGCTTTTTGCCACCTTCGTCGATCCCCGCGCCCTAGCCACCTCCATCTCACCCCTCTTCCCTACATTCGCCGCATTCGCCGGGTGCAATGCGAAAAACCCGATTAACAGTCGGCGATTGGAATCTTTCTGTGTTGCATTGTGGAAGTTTGCGCTGGGTTCCGGCCGCGCGGAATATCGACGGCTCGACTCTCTGCTGCGGTCGAGCAGTTGCTGGCGCGATTTCTTTCAGGTCAGAGAGAGAAATTCGCGGCTGTTAATTTGGAGGACGTATCGATCGATTGTTCACGAAACAAGGCCCGGGAGAAAGCGAGAGAGACGAGAGAGAGAGAGAGAGAAAGAGAGAGTTGTATTATTAGAAGACTATCTTCCGCTGGTCCGTCTTAACTCGGCAATGACGAGGTGCTATCTCTGGGACTTTTCGACTGACAGAGTGAGCTACGATTGTATCTCACAGCTTTCCTCAGCGGTAGTCCGTCAGTTTCCGTCATCAACATTGAAACTTTAGGTCTTGGCCGTGTCTAAATAATGAAAACCAATCAGAGAACATGACTTTATAATTATTATATGAAATATTGCAATTGTCAGACCTTGAGCTTTCAATCTTATGAATCTTCTTCTCTTTTCCTGTAAGAAAAAACCACAAAAATGAATGTTTGATTAGATAAAAGTTGAGTAGTGATAATCACGGAAATTACAATCACTAAACGATCATAGTAGATTCACACGAATGTTGAAGCCTTGCAGTTACGAATAGAGTAAAAAGTAGCCATAGGCTATAATTTGTCCAATAATTGCGTTTTAGTGCCTAAGTGTACGTACATAAACTACTGTGAACATCAATTATCTTTGATAGTGACTAGCGCACTATTTGAGCAATTATTGGGGAAATTATAGCCTATGGCCATCTTTTTCGTATAGTCATCGTACCCGAGTTTACATCAATATAAAACAGAGCAATTGCCATTTGCAACTTACGGGAGATTTGACGAGGTGACAGAGGGTTAACGACCTCTTGAACGAAGATGAAAACTCAATTGAAAGTTATTGAGAACTTGGAACTATATACTTATGTTACCGATATTAAACAAAGTGTATCGCGCTTGGGGTACGCTCGCCTTGTTCTCGGGTTAAAACGAAGGACCCGCCATTCATCTTGTAATGCACAATCCAATTCCCGCGTCATTTAAAATTCCACGTAACGCAACGACCCATTTCGGTCCCCGAGGGTGTGTTAGATCGGCAAAGAGAAAGTAAAATCCCCCACGTGTGATTCTCTTTGACGTGGAAATCGCATTGGCGATAGTAACGCGACGAGAATGAAAACTCTGCCCAACAAATGAAAGTTGCGTTATATTACGCAGTCACTAAATAACTGCATTTACGGAGCATCAGCATGAGAATAAAGATTTCTTTGACGGGGTCCCTTCATGAATTTTCTCACTTCGCTAAGACCTCGTGTAATACACGTAAAGGGTTCCTCGGAAGTTTTTACGCCGTTGGCCGCTAAGAGAGCCGGGGCGACTATCGTTTCCTCGGAATAAAGTAATCAGCCAGACGAGCGGTTGGGGAGACGAGGATACGGGTTGAAAAAAATTGATGAGAGACCGTTGCAGAAATTTTGCGCCACACCGGCGGATCGTTACTTTGAAAAACAACGGCGGCAGGCAGGTCGGAAGGCCAAGGGGGATGCTGGTGAAACGTGCCCCGAGGTCTATTAAGTATCTTTAATGAGGCAACGACATCGAAGAGGGTGGAGAGGCGCACACCGACGCTGTTTTTACTTCGTTATTATCGCCCCGCATTTTTGTATTTCATTCTCACGGCCGTCATTATTATTTCCCCGCCATTGCTGCTTGAAACGCGCGAATGCTCGATCGATTTACACTCCCGTCGCGCGGAACGCGCTCCGAGGATTCGTATAAAAAAGAAAAGGAGCAGGAGGATAACGGCTGTGTCGGGGTCGTTCGCGCGCGATACAGCGAGCGATAAACTCGCGCGCGGGCGATAAAATTCGCGTCGGGGGAACGAGCGTGTCATCTTACGCGAGCGCGCGCTTTCGAGGTAACTCTCCTAACGAACGAACCGTGATCACTTTGCTTCCCCGCCCCTCTCCCTTGCCACCCCGGCAAATCTCGCAATTCCCCGATATCGGGACGGCTTCTCGCCGGCGGGGAAGCTCGTGTCGCACGAGGATACGCTCCCTCGTGTGATCCGCGCGGAATTTTCGAGTCGGAACTCCCAAAGGGTGTTCCGGAGTTCGCCCGTCCACGACGACGCCACGAACAGCGTGGCGGATTTGAATTTCTGTATTCGTTCCAGGATAGTTCGAGGGGGAGAGGGGGGATTGCCGTTCAAACTCGGCAGAATTTCGCGGCAACGGGAAACAAAGCAACGTTCACGTTCTGAGAAGAATCCATTGCCGCGTGAGTCGCGCGTCGTCTCGCGTGACCGAGGGATTTTACGCGAACGAGAGTGTTAGGGCTCCTGCACACGAATTTCCGTAATCGCAAACGTAAGGCGTAAACTTAAACTGAAGAACTAATCAGGATTAGTACAGCAACGTACTACCCTGACAGAGCAATCAAACAATTTCCGCAGTATGATACGATTCTAACACAGAAGCTGGTTTCACCATCGAAGTGTTAACTTCCATAAAGCAGTGTTGACATATTTATTTAAAGATTTGCCAAGCACAAAAATAATGTTAATTTCAAAGGAAAATATATGAAAATCCATTGTCGTACATCTCTGAAACCGCGTTACAGCTAGAGCATTTTATCCGCGATAAAATTTTATCCTCATAAATTCAGCATGTTAAAATTAGTATGAATTGATGACTTTTTTATTTGTATCGCAAAATGGCTGTCGACTAGCATTACCGATGCGTTGGCGGGCAATTTATTTCCAGTTGCGCGTTCGGAGCGTGTTTTGCGATCTGTTAAAACATCGGATCTCTCGATGTCGAATTAACGATCTCTCTTTTTCGTTTCCTCGCTGTGCTCCATACACGCGATTCCGCGAGATACCGGATGTGTGGATTAATCGAACGCCTACCATCGCCTACAAATTTCCGCTGCCTCGGGCTACCAGGAAAATTCACTTATTCACGGCTTTTAAGTCGCACTCGGACGCTGATATCACGCGACATGATTCCATTAAGGCACGACGATATATAAATCCTATTAACGAGCCTTATTGTTTTTGGCAGAATGCGCGGCCAAGAACGGAAGATCGGTGGTGGAGCACCATCCTGCGTCCTCTTATTGGGAGCAGGGACCCTTTAGTCAGCCTTACTTCGACAACACGACAAGGAGAGAGACCACAACCACCGTCGGGCAATCCGCTTACCTGCACTGCAGGGTGCGCAATCTTGGCGATCGCGCGGTAAGTCCCAAGTTTCCTTATCAAGAACCGTCGTAGTCCTCGTTCTCGTCATTGTAATAACAGTGTCCTCGTTCGGGACGACGCAGCGTTTACGTGGATGTAGATTAACACCGCGTGTCTGTTAAATATCGCGACTAAATCTCGCAATTTTGATTCCCATAGATTATTTCCAGCTCTTGCTGGAAAATGTTTCTTCGTGTCGCATCCTTCGAGGACGCATCTGTCGTTATCATATGCGTATTCGTTATCATACCGTAAATTAGCAAAGTTTATCGCGCGACTCCCCATAGGATATTCTTTTTTGCATCCACCAGATTTCTTTTTCATGCTCGAGTCGCAGTCGCTCCACTTCTTTCTGATTTTTTCTTTTTTCGAAAAACGTGCTGACTATATATATGTATATATTCCTGTTACTTCCAATACTGCATGGTATGTCCAAAATCGTTCACTTGTTTTTCCGTCGAACTCGGTCAAACGTGGTTCAAAAAAAAAAAATAAAAGGAAAAACATTGCGCGCAGATGGAATAGATTGTAGATAAAGCGCACGCGGTATAATTTCAAAAGAAAAAAAAACAAACGCCGCGAAACAATTTCCTCCCGAGATTTCTCGATAACCAGACAGATAACTCGCGCAGCGCGGCCGGTGTGTCGCACGCTTTTAGAAAAGAAGAAAAAAGTCAATTAACCGACTAATCCTCTTATTACGTAAATTAATGTAGAGCCCGGTGGACGGGCTTTAACGCTCGATTATGCGTCAACAAGTTCGCGCGATTTAATTTTGTGTCGTTTGCGAGGGTTGCGCGCGGAGCGACAAAGGCCGGCCGACGCGAGCGCAAACAGATTTACCGTGCAAAATTAAATCGGCGCGTCGCATCCGTTCGATTAGCGCGCGATCCCCCAATTATTTTCCTTTTTATTTCGCGCCGCGCGAAGTGTATTTTCCGGACCATCGCGATCCAGCTCCCGAGGTCGTCGGTAAATTCTCTCGCGCGATGCCACACGCGGCACGCCACTCGAACAATCGAAGTCGCGCCGCCGATCCAAGCCGCCAAATAAATTCGCAGTTACGTGTGTGTATGTGTGTAAGTGTGGCGTTTGCGAGCATTAATCCGCAATCGTTCGCTCGCCGACAAACTTCGGTTCGTTCTCTCTCTTCTCCCTTCTCTCTCTTTCCCCCCCTCTCTCTCTCTCTCTCTCTCTCTCTCTCTCTCTCTCTCTCTCTCTCTCTCTCTCTCTCT